ACAAAATTGAACCATCGTATAAAGTTAAGGACTGTACTTTGTTTTATTTATAAAGTTTACTAACTTACCATTTTGGAAAATCAAGTCACCCAACAATGTCACATAGTAATTTGAGTAATAAACATAACACCTGTGTAAATTTGTATTTATTGTTGATGAATTAATGACACAATGCATGGCATCCAACTACTTCATTGTGTCTTCTAATATAGTTGTGTATTTGAAAAAATATATTAATTTATCAGAAATTACTTCCCTTTATTTCACTTTCATATCACAGTTAGGATACTCATGTTTTTTTAACTGTATATGTATATAGAAAGATTTTCCTTCATTTAAAAAAATAGTAAGCACTTTATGTTCTTATCACTCTTCTAAGCCCTTCCTGACAAAAATATAATAAGTAAACTGTTTAGTTTCTTACAAGAAAATGCGAAATTGCATAGGTAGACAGGGAATGCTGGAAGGGTATGACACAGAATGCAAAATTAAATATGGTGAGCCAGAATACCCTACTATGAAGGCTAAGAGTTAAGCAAAGACTTGAGGTAAATAAATGAAAAAAGAGCAAAAAGGGCAAAAGTCACTAAGCTAAATTGCTTCCTTGGATTTTTTAAAAAAAATAGTAAGGTGGGGCTGGGGTCGTAGCTCAGTGGTAAAGCACTTCCCTAGCAAGTGTGAAGCACTGGGTTCGATCCTCAGCACCACATAAAAATAAAATAAAATAAAGGTATTGTGTTCATCTACAACTAAAAATTTATATTAAAAAAAATAGTAAGGAGACCCGGGTATCCACAGGAGAGTGAAGGAAGGAAAAAGGTAAGAGAAAAAATGGGGCTGCTAATCATTTTGGTCCTTTAGGTCACTCATTCTAAGGACATTAGGTTTTACTCTGACTGAAATGAGGCAATGTTAGAGAGAAAAATATGATAGGAGGATTTGGGCAGATGAGTGTCATAATCTAACTTAGTTAAGAAATGCTTTGATTCCTACCTGAGACAGAAAATGACAAGAACAGGTCTAAAAAGATCAGTTAGGAAATTGCAAGTTGCCATCAACTGAATTGGAAAAGTCTTTAAGTAGAACAGAAAACTACCAGGAAAAAGTTGTTTAGTTTGAGCTGTTTATAAGATATCCCAATGGAAATGTCCTAGCTGGAGTTATTCCTGTTGGTGTGGTGCAATAAGTTTTGCTTTTCTATAAAATTTAGTGTGAACCTGAACCTGCTAAAAGCCACCACCAGGAAGACTTTTATTTACTTTCAAACTTTTTAGAACTAAGTCACATTTTAAGATCAGTTACTATATAGTTAGCTAACCAAAATAAAGATAATATTTTTTAATATTTTATGTTAGTTGTAGCTAGACACAATGCCTTTATTTTTTATTTTTATGTGGTGCTGAGGATCAAACCCAGCGTCCCACACATGCTAGTCGAGTGCTCTACCACTGAGCTACAACCTCAGCCCCCAAATAAAGATAAAGATAATACATTAGGGAAAACTAATGTATATCACTAATAATTTATATTTCACAGATCCACAGCCATTCCTCCTCACGTTTTGGAATGAACCCAGGACATTATGCATGCTACAAAGCATGACTCTACCACTGAGGATGCCCAGTTGCTTAGGTATTCCTTCCTAAACAAACAAAAGGAATAAAAACAAAGTCAGCCAGGCAGAAATAGGAATTATAAGTGATATTATTTTGACAATCAAATCTGAAACCTAAAATAAGGAATTAACATTACTGGGAATTCTGAAGTGATTTCAGTTGCTATCTTTAAAGGTCTTCCTTTGACTATGCTATCCTTTATCATCTCACAAATATAATTCCCCAATGTTCCTCTAACCTTTACTTCTTACTCTATAGACTCCTTTCTGGACACTGGCATTATTTCCTCTGGACAATGGCAGTAACTCACATTTTTTTTCATCTACTGAATATATACCAATGATTTTTAAATGTTTATCACCGTCCAGAACTATCATTGTGTTCTAAAACAGCAATATCCAATTAAAATATAATGCAGGTCTCCTATATTTAATAAAATTTTCTAGTAGCCACATTAAAAAGATGAAAAAAGTGAAATTAATTTTAATATATTTTTAACATAACCTGAGACATTATAATTTCATAATGTAATCAAGTTTTTTTTGTTTTGTTTTGTTTTTAAAGGGAGGAGTGTGGATGGTACCAGGGATTGAACTCAGGGGCACTCAACTGAGCCACATCCCTAGCCCTAGTTTTGTATTTTATTAGAGAAAGGGTCTCACTGAGTTGCTTAGGGCCTTGCTAAATTGTTGAGGCTGGCTTTGATCCTCTTGCCTCTGCTTCCCGAGCCACTGGGATTACAGACATGCACCACCATGCCCAGCCTGTAATCAAGTTTTTAAAAAATCATTACTGAGGTGATTTTTTTTTATTCACTTGAAGTATTTGAAATCCAGTATGCGTTTTACACTTATATGATATCTCAAGTCACATTATCCATACTTCAAGTTCTCAATAAATATATGTGACTAATAGCTACCATTTTGGAAAGTGCAGCTCTAAGTATAACATAAAAACCATGTCTAGTGCAAGGCCCTAGGTTCAATCCTCAGCACCACATAAAAATAAATAAATGAAATAAAGTTATAAAAAATGTCAGTCTGCTGGTCTTCAAAGAATAGTGTCAAAAAAATCTTCAAGGAATAGTATTAAAAAAAGTCTAAAATTTAAAATTTCTCCTTAAATATGTTTATGTTTCCTTAATAAGTGAAAAACAGCATCTGTGTCAACATGGAATCCAGAAATCATCTCAGATTCCTTCACTTCCTTTTTCCTAATAATAATTATTTTTTTAAGGTGGACACAGTATCTTTATTTTATTTTTATGTGGTGCTGAGGATCGAATCCAGTGCCTCATGAATGCCAGGCGAGCTCGCTATCACTTGAGCCACATCCCCAGCCCCTCCTTCACTTCCTTGATAACAATGCTAACCACACTATCTCCCAAATCTCTCTTATTCATCTCTAGATTTTGTTATAGCTTCTTGTCTTTCAGATTACTGGACTAAGTTCTATTAATCCAGGAACCATGTATTCTCTTCTAAGGATCTTTAATACTTCACTCTGTATCAGACACAGAGAAGGCAACCATTAAACATTTTTTGATAACCATTTACCACTTGCTATATGAAGAAAATAAATAATGATAGGCTCAGAAAGGTTTTCTTAAGTGAAAAGAAAGCTAAAAAGGAGTTAATCAACTAAATTGAAAATACCACAAATTCAATAAATTAAAATAAAAACAAAACTCTAAAGTTATTAGGTAATAACTAGATTAAGTAACAATGAATATAAATTTAAATATGAAAAAAAAATTGAACATGAAAAAATGTCCTAGGTAACTAAATTTGCACATATTACATTTGGCTTTATAAAATAACCTATAAGCAATATTTATCTATAGATTAAGATCCAGATTCCTTACCAAAATATTTTAGATATTCTAGACTAAGTAATCTTGTACTAAAACACATGTGTAAAATTGATTTGGAAAGATCAGACTTATGAGCTGATAGATTTTAGGATAATCATCTCTAGTCCAAGTGTATCTTCTTACAAATGAGGAACTGAGGATCAGAGAACTTAACAAAGGTCATAGAGCAATTAGTGACAATTCTTCTATAGTTAATATTCTGTTTATGAATGGGAACCAAAATTATTTGTGACTTGTTAAAAATTAAAAGAGGTATAATGACTACCATACAATTTTTGGAAAAAATAACAGTAGGATCAATGTCTACCGCATTCCTAGGTTAGGTAAGAATGCAATTATGTTTTAAAATTCCACATTTAAAGCAACAAATTAAAATCCCATTTTGAAAAAATCCAAATGGTAAAACAATGAAATAACTAAGGATTTATAGAAAGAGCAAAGGACAAGAGAAGAAAGGAAAACAAATCACTTGTGTTTGTAAAAGTAATTTTTGTTTTCTTAAGCTTTTATTAATAGCTCTCCTATTAGACATATAATGGCTACAGGCCATAGAATATAAAGCTCAAGTCTTAATAAGCTTAAGATCAATGAGAAATGAAAATAAAAATAAAAATACAATTTGATATACAACATTCTGATTTACAGAAGATTTTACAGAAATAGACCAATGATTCAAATTTATTATGTTAAAAATTATTCATCTCATTAAGTTTAAGTTCACTTTAAGAGGTTCTGAAAAATATGAAGAAAAAAGTAAAATGTAATTCCAAACTAAACATGATGGCATCTTAAAAATTAAAACAAATTAAAATAAAACATTTGCATAAATTACTTTAGTATAGCAGACAAAATTAGAGTTAACTAAACTGGAATTCCTAAATGTCATCTTATATCATTATCTCCCAAAGGAAAAAGGTGATAATTTAAAAAATAAAGACTTTGAATCAAACGTTTAAAAAATTAGGTTTACACTTCATGTTTTTATATAGTTTCTGCCAAAGGATAAGCCTTTTGTTCATAAAATCTTTAGCTTACTCAATCACAGTAGTTCAAACTACTACCAAACCAAACTTTAAAATATATTAAGTTACTTAATAAATTTTAAGAACCGACAATACATTTCAGACAGTCAAAAGGAGTATTTCAGGTAGCCATCAAATGAACAGAAATTAAGAGTTCAGGAGTTTCATCATCTGCTAAGTAATGGCATTAGTATCCCATTGTCCCTAAGGCTAAGATACTTCTCCGGAGCAATTAAAATCTGTATCTAATTATTATTTAAAGTTCATTAATCAAATAAAACTATAATGAAGGAAATTTCTACTAGTAGAACAGGGATTATTCTTACAGTCAATATTCATGGGAGGACACACTGCATTTTGTACACTTAATTAAAGATAGGGAAATAATCGTTACTCCATTGTATATTTAACATATTAAGTCTCGAATCACTAATCTGAAATTAAAGAAAAAGTCTTAGAGCATTAAAACCCCACACCTGAAAGACTTACCATTTTATCTAGATGTTCAATGGATCTATAAATCTCCCCCTGGGATTCATCATAGTAACTGTAACGGAACCTTTGACCTTGAAACAAATATCATGTACAAAATAAAATAGGGAAAAATTAGAAGCTAAAAAGAAAGCAAGCGCTTACCAAATAATGTTAGTTCTCATAAAAGGCAAAGCACAGCTTAAGCCTCTGAGAAAATCATTCCCAAGAGCCCTCATACATAAAAATAAAAGGCATATTTGGGAAGATAATAAAGAAATGATATTATCACCAGTGTTTTATGATTTTAAAAACTATTTCAAATAGGAACCTTAAAGTCACCAGCAATACACGACTAAGGAAACAAAACAACTTAAAAGTTAGAAGCATTGTTAAACATTGTATCAGTCTATAATAGAACCAAAGAATATGATTCAATAAAATTTGGTTTAGGAAAACTATCTCAGCGTAACAAATCAATGGAAGTTTAGATACTGGTGTACAAATGCACATATTTGATCTCTATTACAGAAAAAATGTATAGGTCAATAATATTTGTGGCTTTTGTGACCTTTATGACCTGAATTTTTAAAAATAACTCATTTCTGTGCAACTTGGAAAAGAACTGATGTAAGTGCCTATCCGATGTGAACAAGATACACAAAAGAATGAATATAATAAATAGTCCTACCCTGACATAAAATCTCAGTAAGAGTACAAGCCCATAATATTCAATGTTTAGCTGTTCTCTAAAGAACAGAGAGGGTAAAATGGAAGAAGCTTAAAAAGAAAACAGAAAACCAAGGTTCAGAAAATAAATTGTTTCCTACTAATCATATGAAATCAAAAGTTAATATTTATAACTAATTACAGATGATTTAGCTGACTATGTTTTCCAAATACACCTAAATCTAACTTTCAGCAATGCTTCTTTTCCTTTTATATTCCCTTGTTTTTAAAGATTTACCAAAATGCACTTCTAGTGCTACAATAACAATCATGTACACATTTTGTGTTTTGTGCTTCATGTTTAAAGCATTATTACTATATCCAATTATTATCTTCACATCTCAGAAGATGGGTTCCACTGTCTGTATATGATTTTTATTTTCTATTCATCTTCTTAAAAATACTCTCTTATAGTAGGCATTACAAAATCATAAAACCTTCTTCAGTGTCTTTTTTTTAATCACAGAACTTAACACTTCATTCATTTGTAGTTGCTAATCATCTATGATTATTTACTTCTCTAAAATATACTGTATTTCCTTAATTTCTACATTTTAACTTTTCATATACACTAATATCCACCATTAACTCAATGGAGCAATTATTACATCAACATTACATCATACAAGAACTACTATTAAATCAATATTACATATTACAATTGATAACCTAAAATCAAGAAACAGGCTAGGAAATAATATCTGCTTTCCGAATAAAACAATAAAGATTATTGCACATTACCATAGTTATAAGATCTATTACATATCTAAACTAAAATAATTATTAAAGATAGTGGTGATAATTTATATTAATACCTCAGCTATTTCTTTCAAAATTAAGACTTAATTACAGCTCTATTTTCAAAGAATATGTGTACCATGCACATTGATGACAATTATCTGATAATGAGAATTATAAAACCAACCCTATTTTTACCATTTGCCAGGTAGTTGTCAGAAGGCTGCTCAAAGCCAAATCTAAAGTTTAGTCATAATAGCTTAGTGATTCAATTCATTTGTCCTACATTTTTACTTCTATTTCAAATAGATTTTTTTTAATATAAAACTGCCCAACATCTTTTGTAAAACTAATGAATATCCTAGACAAGAAAATTCTCATTGGCTGTCACTATAGTAAGAATATCATCCTTGCAGGAAATCAAGGTAATATACTCCTTAATTCTTTGAGCCTGAACTAATTAGGTTTATAGTAACCCATTCTTTTTTTCTCTGCTTCCAGTAATAGCTATTAGATTTAGCTACTATCAACAAGCCTTGTGATTGGCACATAATTGTCTTATGTGAATACTGCTATTCCCAGGTACAAAGGCAAACGCAGAAATGTGAGTAGCCATTTGCTACTCAAATATTTTTTTCTGCTTAATTCCCAGTTCAAAACTGATGTTTCAAATGGCAACCTTGCCTGAAACGAGTAACAATATTTTAAAGTGCTATCTTGTTCAGATTGACTTTACTATGAAGCTTTCACTTAAAAACTATTTCTGAAGCACAAGTATAGGAAATGTTCACATTTCCGAATACTTTAAAATGCCGAATCAAGCTGTGATATAATAAGAATTATAAAACATGCAGGAAACCAAATTAAGCAAATGTTTGATAGTATACTATCTACATTTTGTTACTCTTCAGTAGCCACCTCACTTTTAATAGCTGAAAAACTAAGTAAAAATATTTGAAATAATATTTGGTTAAGAAGCTAAATGCATACTATACATACCTACCACACTGAATAAATATTTTTCTTAGCTTATGTCGTCGAATAGTAATTTTTAAAAATTGTATCAAAATTTAAAAACAATGCATTCTGGCCAATATATGTAGAAAGCATCTAATTTTGGAGTAAAGAGTTGTCATTTTATTTAGCTTGTATGTATGTACAAATGTATTTATGTAAGTGTACACATGCACACATGTGAAAACACACATACATACACACACACACACACACACACACACACACACACCCATAGCTTTAGTCAATCGCTGCTTATGATTGAGTTTAAAAGGATTTTTTTGGTTTCTTATTGTTAAAAAAATAAATTTTCAAGAGTTTATTAATAAAGGAAATTACAGTACTAGCTTTTAAAATACACTGAACATAAATGAACCTTAAATTATTATTTATTTAAAATAAATTATGATTTCATATATTTCATGAGCAAATATATTTTATTCTATGAGGTTTTTTTACTTCTGAATTTCATTAAAAGTTCTGAATCTAAACTGTGAACAAATACAACACCCTCTGTACCTGGAGAACTGGAATTGTGTACTTTTATAAGTATGAATAAAGCATATCACATAGTAAGAGAAAATTACTTACCTGAAACTTATCCTTTCAGAAGGTACACTGGGAAAATGGATTCTTTGAGCCCCTGTTTCAACTCCAAGTATGAGCTTTCTAGCTTTAAGAGCCATTGACACTGCCCCTAGGGGCAGTACAAGCTTTGGAACTCCCCTAGTGAGTATGTCAGTAGTTTCTTCAGATGCCTTCCCTCAGTTCTTTTCAAATTCAAAAGATGAGAGGAAAAATAACCCAAGAAAAAAAAATCCTGTAAAGCAGAAACCTTACTCTTTGAGGGAAGGAGGGTAGCTCATTTGTGAATCCATTCCAGAGCACGCTTTCTGAGAAAAAGAAATACAGGTAAGTAATTTTCCCATCTCCAAAGGTGACTGGTGATTTAATGAGTGGATTCACAGAGTGTGGAAAGTAAGCTCCAGGGATGTCTGTTTAACACACAACAATCAACTAATGAGGACAAACAACGATGAATGGTACAAGAACCAACACTACTGTTTTAAGTACCTCGAAACAAAAAGTAAAAAAATAAATACCTCAACATCAACCTATGCTCTGAGCTGCAGAAACAATGACCTTGGAAAGTCCCAAAAAATAAGTCAATGAAACAAACTTTCAGATATTTTGGTTGTACAGTTACTCCATCACTTTGTTAATATGTTAAGCAATTTTCAAATATTTGAGTTAAAACTCACAAAAATCTGTGAGACAAGGAATAAGGCCTGGAACTAGGGACTTTTCACAATTAAAATCATAATGAAAGAAAAAAATGTATTTAAAAAAAGAAATGTTATCTAAGTAGGATCAAATAAGGTAATCATTTCTGAAAACTAAATGCTATTATCCTTTCATTATGAAGTCTTAGTAATAATGTAAAAGTAATAGGCTTATCTGAATCCTGCAAAAGATCAAGAACCTACATTTGTCAAATCAGAGTGTACAAATATTTAAGAAAAAAATGTGAAGGCTTGAATAAGATATAATTGAGAGATTCGATTACATTCAAATGAATTTAAATATTTAGAAAATAGTAATATCCTATGCCCAAGAGATTAACAGGAGGAAGAGTGTGCATGAATAATCACTTATTAATATGTATTACAGAATAAAACTGAATAAGGACATAAATCTCAAATACTTAGAGGAAGGCCACTTTTAATAAGTGGCACATATTTATAAAAATAAATTATATAAACCTAGACAAATTCATAATCTCTAGAGACTACAGAAAATTTTATACACATTTTAACAAAATGTGTCATAAACATTTCCAAATAAATATATTAGAACTGATATGCAAAACCACCATAAAAGGCAAATCAAGCATGACTTCACCTTTTTAAGATTCAATTTCTGATAGATGCAATTTAATTTAGAAACTTGTTATAAGTTAAGTGAAAATTACATTAATTAAAACTATTAATATTCTAAATTTGGAAGTATAAATTTCAGTGAAGTCAGGAAAAGACAAATATTAACAGTATATATGGAGAACAACAAAACTAAAACTTGAGCAAATAAAATAAAATTTATATAGGACATAGAACTTTGTAAGTATACCAAGAATTGGAATACAACTTATTTAACTGTGTTAAAAATCAAACACGAGAGGCTAAGGCTGGGGCTCAGAGTTAGAGCGCTTGCCTAGCATGCATGAGACACTGGGTTCAATCTTCAGCACCATATAAAAATAAAATAAAGCTATTGTGTCCCACCTACAACTGAAAAGTAAATATTTTTTTCTTAAAAATCAAAACACTGGCAGCAAATGTCTTGGCACTTACTCCATTTCCTACCATTAGCAGGAACAGTGAATCGAGGTAGGATCATTATTACAATGTGACCTGACAAACATCTTCCTATGGTGCTAACATATTTTCATAGGTTTAAGACTGATAATGAGATAAAAAGCAGGAACTGAAATGCAAGGTTTCATCTTAGGGGACTCAAATGAAGACAAAAAGAAGAGAAATAACAAAATCTAGGTTCCCATCTCTCCCCTGCCTTGTCTCACTCACTCACTCAAAAAAAAAAAAAAAAAGAAAGAAAGAAAGAAAAGAAAAGAAAGAAGGAAACCTATAGGCCTATAGGGGCTGGAGTTCTGGCTCTGTGGTAGAGTGCTTACCTAAGTGAGGCACTGGGTTCTATCAGCACCATGTAAAAATAAATAAATAAAAGTATTGCGCCCTTCTACAAGTAGAAAAAAATATATTTCTATCTCTCTACTTTTATCTTTCTACTATCTTTTCAAATCTAAATAAAACCTAAATGGGATCTGATAGGTAAGCATCTATAAAGTAAAATGTGTTTTTTAAAAGAAGCCATTTTTACAATGAATACTGGCTAGCAAATAAGGTCAATAAGAAAAAATATTTCCAATTTACAAGTATGTTTACTAACTATCATTGAGTTTTTCACTTTATTTTTTGTAAAATCTGGACAAAATATAAAGAGAAACAATGACTACAAATGAAAAATGTAGTCACTTCCAGTAGTTTAATATTATTCAACAAAAACAAATTCACACTGTGAAATTTGTCAAATGCACTACAATCAATTACCTGCTTTTTCTTCGAAAAAATCCGCTATTTATAATTGTGAAGTGAATGTAAAGCCTAGCTCAATGAACTTTGTAAGGCCTCCACATACTTAAGGAAATGAATCCTTCATGTGAAATTATTTAAATTTAGTCTTATCAGCTGAGCATGGTGGTATACATCTATAATTTCAGAGACTCAAGAAGCAAAGGAAGTAGGATTGCACATTCAAGGCCAGCCTGGGCAACTTAATGAGACCCTGTCTCAAAAAAACCACAACCACAACAACAATGACAAAAAAAAAAAAAATTAAAATTAAAAGGGTTGAGGTGCCCTTTTTCAGTGGTAAATCGGCCCTGGGTTCAATACTCAATACTGGTTAATACAAATAAATAATTTTTAAAAAGAAAAAAAATAATTCAGTCTTCTGATTGCTTTTACATGGTAAAAACTGTACTGTGTATTTTAAAAAATTAAGAAAAGCCAGTAAGCATTACCTTCATAAGAAACTAAATTTTTGAGATGGTAGTATAACACACTTATTAATTTAGGAAAGATGCCCAATACCACTAGAACATAAATTTGAGAAACATGAAACCTAATTCCTCAGTAAAAACAACTAACCCATAGCTAGCCAATGATTTATACAACTTCAAGAGGCATGCAATTCAGAAAATGTATCTTACTTTACAAGAATGATTACAGTATCAAGGAATGAAAGTTCACTGATAATATCAGATTATTAGCATGTCTCACATCTCTCACTGACCCAAAGCACCCATCCAGGAAGAATTAGCACAGTGTTTTTCATAAGTATAATGTAAATGTGTAATGAACATTGTTAGTGATGGCATCACTTAAAACTGGACACTTGGAAAAGCTCCATTACTTAACCACCTAATGTAAGTATTAATGTTTTAGTCTCTGGATAATTCTCATAATTATCATTTATCAAGCTTCACAATTGTGAAATTTTCTTTCATTTTTCTTTTTGTAATTATCACCTGGAAATTCCATCTTACAATTTAAATATTAAAATTCAAGAAGTCAGAAGAGAAATGGCCTAAATAATTAGTTCCTGAGAATCTAGTTAGAATGTAAAAATTTACATTTCCTTCTCAACAACTATAGTTAAAAAGAGTAGTGGAGCAGGATTTTATTTAGGAGGGAGGCTTTAGAAATCTTCATTAATGAGATAAAAATGATTATTCCTAAGAAAATAGCAATATTAAAGTGTCTACTAATATTTCCATGGATTTATGTTGTTGTACATGTTTCCAACTTGGAGAAAGAGCCTAGATTCTGAAGAACAGTCTCCAGGGAGCACATTATTTAAATCAAGTGACTCATTCATTCATAAGAGGCTTCAAAATGATGAGGGAAAGGGCCCCTGCTTCAACAAGTTTAATTTCTGAAATATGTGAGTACACCTTGTTATCAACAAAAATTCACAATACTGGGGCTGGGGATATAGCTCAGATGGTAGAGTGCTTGCCTTGCAGGCACAAGGCCCTGGGTTCAATCCCTAGCACCACACATACACACAAAAAAAATATTCACAATACTAAGGAAAGTAACCCATTTTCTCAGTAATGATACTCCTTGGTTTTTAAGATCAATGACTATTAAATATCTGAATTCCCAAGAAAGGAATTCCTTTTTAAGCATCTACCTGGATCCTCAAATATAAGTAATATGATTCTGCCAAAGACAGCGTAAGTAGCCAATAGAATTAGTTATTAAAGAGCCCTGAGAGTTACTCTGGGCTTTTCCCAAGGAAGTACAGCTACCTACAAACCCTGAATCTAGGTTTCCCAACCTCAGTACCATTGACATTTTGAGCCAAACAATTCTTTGACTGGGGACAGGGGTTGGGAGAGCCTGTACTATGCATTATAAAATGTTTATTTAGCAGCTTTCCTGAATCCTTCTCATTTGATATTAGTAATATCACGATCCCTTAAATTAAGTCACATCCCAACCTACTAATGTTGATCAAAATGTCTCTAGGCATTTTTAAACACCTACTAAGAGGAAAACCATCCCTAGTTGAGAATTACTGCCTTGAGCAAATAACTCAACTATACCATCAAGAAAGACAGTTCTCTTCAACTGAGATCTCAACTTTTAAGAAGGTCATTCAGAGAAGTTTGCAAGAAAACACCTAACTAAGCAGATAAATGTTGAATCAATTCTGGTAATCAAAGTGTAAGACACATAAAAAGCCAGGGTTTCCTATATCTCATTGAGGATGTGTTTTTGTTGCTCTATCACTCACTCTACATTAAAAATTGTAGTTTTATATTTTACATTTTCTTATAATCAAAACAGTCACTGATGAATGAACAGATGTTGGCATCCTTAAGGCATTAAATAAATGATTTAAAGAGATGACCTAAGAGGAAAGGAGCTTAGAAATATTGTGGGATAGTAATGGATAATTGAGAGCAAAGTGCATCCAAAGAATGTAAAAACAAAGTTTGCTAAAAGAGGCATCCATAAATGCTCACTTTCTTTATGATCTATTCACTGTTAAGTATCCTTACTCTTTTAATTCACAATAATCACAAAAATCACTTAAGAATCCTTACCCTTATAAAGCATTAGCAATGAAGACCACAGTGCTAATAGCCAACGTGTTACAATCTTTGAAGGGTAGCTCTAAACTGATGGCAATTGTGGGCAAAAAATAAGCACCGAAAGAAAAAAAGAAAGAGAGACTAATTACAAAAAGCAAATCTGGAAAAGACTGGCATAGCTCATCCACATTCTAAAGAACATTTGTTTCATACACCAAAACTAACTTGAGAGAAATCTCAATACCTACATGGAAATGGAATTAAGAGGTCTTAACTCCTACTAACATAAGTATCTAGAAAAAGGATGCCCTCACAGTGTGAATCCAATTATACCAGTCGCCTTTGGAAATGTGTCCATAATCCACTATTATCATCTGATTCTTTTTAAATGACCAAAAGACTTTTTTATTCATTTTTAAACACTGCTGCTAAAAGTAAAACTTTCCAAGGAGAGTGATAAAGAACTGATAATCAGAGCTTTGAATAAAAAGGCACCTTTAACCACAAGTACATAGTATCTACCATGATATGTTAAAATCTAGAACTTACCCCAATGGCAGAAATCAGAAGAAACCACAAAGAGATTACTAGGATCCGCTAGATATTTACTGAAGAGTTTTCCGAATTCCTGTTCTTTTGACTCACTCAGAGCTCCAACCAGTACAGGAATAATGGTAAACTCATCCTTATGGCTTAAAGAAAACAGAAGAAGAAGAAGAAGAAGAAAAAAAGTCATTTAAGATATTTAAGAATAAAAATAGTTTTCCAAATTGTTGATACTAGAAACTGGAATATTTATTAACAGCAGTAATAAGATACATAATTGTTAATTTATTAAAATCTAAAAATTAAAAGCTGAAAGAGGACAATTTTAAAAATATGAAAAGCATAGAATACTAGACGTATCTATTTAAAGTCACAGAAATGTACAAACATAGGTAAGCAAAGCTATTTTACTCTCAGGCATAATAATATCCTGAAAAACAAAAATAAACCCATCAGTCGATCACCAATTCAAGTCTTCTCAACTACCCTCTAAGACTACAATCACCTGCCTGATCCTTCTGTTTTTAAAAGAGCTTTCAATTCTTACCTGTTTTAATACCATCTTATTATATACCCATTCCTGGTACTTGTTTCATAAACCTGCCACATGAGACCTACAAAACTTAATCTTGGCACCCATAAGATCCACCAACTGCACTTTTACACTTATCCTAATGATCATATACAAGCCAGCCTGAAGATACATCTCAAATTTCATTGGCATCAGGGTAAACAAAGAATTCAAGGAAGTATTAATTTCTAGCATCAAGAAAAAGACATCACACCCACCCACAATGTTTATGAACATCCACAAGTCCCTTTTTTGCTCTACAAATTGACAGATTTATGGAAAAGGAACAAAGTAGATTAATAAAGAGTAACTATCAACGTGCTGTTTATCTAAAGCCTTTAAAAATTTTTATTGTAATGAAATTTTACTTACACATATCCAATATTATTAATATGCTAAATTATTTTAGATTTAGAATTTCAGAAGCATAAATCATGTTTATCTGACTTGTTCAAAACAGGACTTTTAAAAAATACCATCATAATAAATGCTTTTTAATATGAAAATCTGACACGTAACTGATACAGGACAAACGAAACTTATAAAAGATTTTTTTTCCAAACTCTAAATTTTAGTAATCCCAAAATAAATGTTGGCTAACTACATAAAGCTAAATTCAGGGCACCCACACACCTCCCCCACAGAGGCCCCCTTACCCTTGTCAATTGCGAAATAAACAGATCATACAGATCTCCAGTCCCTCTGCAATGCAGGGGCTTCTTGGGCACAATCTGCATCTATGGAGTAAGAAAAAAAAAGGAAGCTGGCAGAGGAAGCTGCCACGGGATTTCTCATTCTCTAACTCTTTAATAGTTTACTAAATTACTATTTGGAACAAATAGGGGCTCTTCATTTACTGAAAGGTGATTATCAATTCAAAGAAAAGAATTTCAGCTTCTAATAAAAATTCAGTAAGACTGTCAGAAATTATTCTAACCTTAGGAACTACCTACATAAATAAATTGACTAATTTCATTAAAGAATATGGAAGAAATTATGACATGGTAGGAAATCAGTTATATAAAGAAGAAAGAAATAGGGCAAGATGGTGCATATCTATAATCCCAGCTACTTGGGAAGCTGAGGAAGGCGGATCACAAGTTCAAGGCCAGCCTGGGCAACTTAAACCATGTCTCAAAATAATAAAAAGGACTGAGGATATAGCAATTCAGTGGTAGAGTGCCCTGGGTTCAATACCTAATCCCAAAGCAAGAAAAAAAGGAACAAGGAGAAGCCAGAAGAAATGGGCTTAAGTACAATCCCTACTACACACAAATATTAAGAGTATGGCTAAGTCCCCAATCTGAAAATTTATTTGCTTATATGCAAAATAATAAATACAAAACCTTCACAAAATTGTATTAAGTGAAGAACAGTATAATAAAGGTGCTTTGTCAGCTGTAGTTGACTTTTAAGAACAAGAGTTGTTTCTTTGAAGAAGCAAGACATCTGCTCTCCACAAAAGCTACCAAGCCCTTCATTTAACCTCAGTTTGAGCTTGCAAATCTATTTATACAGAAGAAAAAGTCTTATCCTCCAGAGAAACTTCTGACTTCAATCAAGTCTCATCTATTCAACCCTCTTTGTCATCTCTCCTTTTTTAAAAGTTGCTTGTATACTATCCTCCAGACTAAGCACAAATTAGAGAACTAAGAGCATGTATCTTTCAAATGTACTATTCCTGGGTTTCAAAATCCAAATTCTGAAGTTGCAAAAACTTCCCAGTGAAGTATAAAATCTGCCCCAAAAAACAACTATAAAACTGCATTTAACCATCAAAACCAACAATTTTTGTGCTCTTATTATCAACCAAAGGGGAAAAAAACACAAGAGAAGTTCATTCGTGACAAATAATAGAACGTCTCAGTAAGTACAGTCAGATCTGGCATCTTACCAGACAGAAGCTGCCTCCATGTCCTAACCCAGCTCCATGGACATGAAAATTCCATTAAAGTGAAGTCGACCATGAAAACTGGCAGCTTCATTGGCATATGGGGATGACTTTGATTTGGAGCACAGAGTGGAAACTCATACCAAGTGGAAAACAGAAAAACATGCATCTCTCTTTGCCTACAGTTGCTATACCATTACAGCAAGCTGCAAATCTGAGAACTAGCTAAAAAATTTAACAGTGAGATTCTGAAAACGGACAGATCCTTAAGAAAAGGGCCTATGCCTTTCACACAATCCTTATTGACTACAAGTTTGCACATATGCCCAGGGTACACCTAATAGGTTCCAAGCTCACTACAAAATGTCATCTAATTAGAAGGCTCAGTGTATGTAGAGGGGAAACTGGAAATGTAAGAGATCAAACATGCAACACAACCTGGCTACTCTGCATGAAGGTTGGGCATGGCTCAGTGGTAGGACATTTGCCCTAGCACATATGAGGCCCTGGGTACAACCACAGATGGAAGGAAGGGAGATAGAGAGGAAATAAATTTTATATGACCACACAGAGAGATACAAGAAAACCCAATAAAAAGCGAAAGAGGCAAACATGAAAGTGGACTGAACACCGAGTGTGCTTCCCAAGCACACACAATCCACCAGCAGAGAGAGACTTAGTGGCTCAAAGACGTAGGCACAAACTACAATCAGTCATTTCCCAATACTAAACCATGTAATCACAGGTGCAAGCCCCAGAAAGTCAAACCAAAAAATGAAAATATGCAATTTCAAAGAGCTTGGAAGACACATCAATAATAGTGCACGGTGGGAGACAAATTCTACAGTTGAATTTCACACAAGTTTCTAAATAAATACAACTTGAAGGAGGGGAAGTGAATAAAATCAGAATCTAGAATGTGTATAATATGCTATATAAAATGTCCAATTCAAAGAAAAAAATATAAGCCACAAGAAAAAAAACGTAAACCATGTCATATGGGAGGTGAGGGAGTGTCACTAGCAAGTTATATCTAAGACCATATCTTGAATTTAACAAAGACCTCAAAAATTTATCATAATATATTTAAAGAATTATAGAAAACTACGCTTAAAGAAGTAAATACATATTGACATGACATAAAAATAGGGGCTAAGAAATCCAAACTATTTTAAAAAGTAGAAATTTTAATAATTGAAAAGTACAATAACTGAAATGAAATATTTACTAGACAGTCAGAAGAGCGGATTTCATATTAGAATAAGAGTAAATATTGACATCAAAGATAAATTATCCAATTAGAAGAACAGTGGAAAAAACACTAAAAGACACTACAGACATGTAGACAACACCAAATACACCAGCATACATAGGATGATGTCCCAGAATGGGGAGAGTAAAATTTATGAAATAAAACTTTTCAAATATCATAGAAACAAAAATGTACAAGAAATCCAAAATAGAACGAACACAGAGAAATTCTCACCTATTAAACAAACCATTCATTACAAACTAAAGAAAGAAATCTTGAAGGCAACAAGAAGAAAATGAGTCATTACATATAAATCTTTTCAACAAACAATACTGGGACAGCTGTGTGTCAATAAGCAAAAAAAAAAAAAATCAGCACATGCAAATATACACACACACTTTTGCCTCACATCATATACAAAAATTAACTCAAGCTGGATCCTAGAAATGTTAAGAGCTAAAACTCTTCTAAAACACCAGTCAGCAAATATCTTTTTCAAGGAACCATCAAGTTAGTATTTTAAGTTTTCTGGGCCATATGGTCTCCACAGCAACTACACAATAGTTACTAGAGGGAAAGCAGGCACAGACAGTATGTATATCCATGGGTGTGGTTATGTTCCAATAACACCTTATTTATGAAAACTAGCTTTGAGTCAGATGGGTTCATTCCACGGGCTATAAGTTTCCATCTCTTATTCAAGAAGAAAAGGAGAAAATCTTTGTGACCTTAGATTGGACAAAGATTTCCAAACATGATACCGAAAACAGAAACCATACATAAAAAAGACAACTGAATTCATCAAAATTAAAAACTTTTGTTCTTCATTAATAAATCATATAAGGAGAGAAACTTTTCTGTTTCTAATAAAGAACTTGTACAGAGAATATATAAATTCTCTTACAACTCAGTAAGATAATAAATTATGTAAATTAAAATTGGGGGAAATGAATGAATAGATTTTTCACATAAAATACACAAATGAAAAAAATAAACAAATGACTAATAAGCACATGAAAATTTGCTCAACATCATTAGTCATTAGAGAGATACAAAGTAACAGTAACATCACAATGAGATTGCACTACATAGCTATCAGAATGATTTTAATCAAAAACACAGTAACAGCTATTGTCCAGGATGTGGAAAAACTAGAACCATCATGCACTGTTCCTAGAAACAAAATGTTGCAGACACTTTATATGACCTAGTAACTCTATTCCTAAGTAACTATTCAAGAGAAATGAAAACATATTGACATAAAGAGTACAAGAATGTTTGTAACATTACTCGTAACAGCAAAAAGTGGAAATGATTTAACCATCCACTAACTGATACATGAATAAATAAATTGTGCTACATTCATTTAATGGAATAATTATTTGGCAATAAAAAGGAATGGACTACTGATACATGCAACAACATAAATGAA